TAATTCCCCCCCCACCAACTGGAGAAATTCGCCAGAATCTCTTTCACCCCCCAAAGGTTCTTCTACAGCTTGGGGAGAGACAAAATTTTTTTTCTCCCCCAAAAAAATTTTTTCACTCATTGCCCCAAAATAATTCCCAAAAAAAATTTCCGTTACCAAACTCTGTGCTTTTTTTATTCTTTTTTTAAAAAATTTCCCTTTTTTAAAAATTTTTTCCTTTTCTCTCTCTCTCTCTCTCTCTCTCTCTCCTCCTCCTCAACTTTTTCCCCCCCCCCCCCCCCCCTCCCCCTCCTCCTCCTGCTTCGTCGTCACCATCATCAGTATCTTCTCTTTTTCTCCTTCTCCTTCGGTATCTCCTCCCCCTTTTTTATCTCCTGACATCTACTCGGTCAGACCGGAACAGGATTTCGAGCAGATTGTCTTCTCGCCCTGGATCCAGTGTCAGTCTCTTCGCACACTCCAGCTCCAACGTTTCAACTCCGTCAGAATCCAAACGCTCCCATCCTGTGCCTCCCAAGTTTTCGAGCATGGGCAGAAGCGTGACGAGTCGAGTCCTTTCGAGCAGAACAAACCTGAGCTCTGCTGGGAGAAGTCAGACGCAAAGGTATGATGATGATGATGATGAAGAGGAAGATCGTGGATATGATGATGGTGATTACGATTGCATGAATCATGAATCATGATTGAAAAAGTGTACTTGAATCATCTACTTGCATCATGACTCATGATTGGAGAGGGAAATGGATAATTTGGAGATGATGATGATTTCTAGAGGGTTTTGCTCCAACCCTGCAGTCACTGAACTGTCACTGTATTTGCAGAAGGATATCTGTTGGGAATGCAGACACAAATCAGATGCAAAAGGTTAACACAAACATCTCAACACACATGACAAGATGAAGTTTGTTGAGCAGACAATGTTGGAACTGGCCACCAATGCTTCAATCCTTGCTTCGAGTGTGCTGAATTGCACTTATTGCAAGTCCCCAAACGTTGTTTTGGAAAAAGGTGAAGTCATTCATATCATTGTACATTTCTCAACCCCCAACATCCTGACATATACAAACAGGAAATCTTGTTTGCAGAACTTGCTTCAAGTAAGATGAATCTCTGTTCAAAAGATGAAATATCACAGCCTGATGTCATGTCATGTCATGTCATGTCATGTCATGTCATGTCATGTCATGTCATGTCATGTCATGTCATGTCATGTCATGTCATTATCGTTTTGTTTGAACTGTGCTGTGAAGTAATGTTTGCACTTGCAAGACAACTTGAGGTTCAAGAACTTCCTGGCGCACCTGAGGAATGGATGTCGATGACAAACGTTGAAAAGATGGGACATCTGCTTGCTCGAGTAATCCTCTTGACCTCCTGCTCCTGCTCCTGCTCCTGCTGCTCCTGCTGCTCCTGCTGCTCTTTGCTGCTGCTCATCCTCCTGCTGCTTTTTACTGCTCCTGCTCCTCCTGCTCCTCCTGCTCCTCCTTTCCATCCTCTTCCCCATCCTCCCCATCCTCCTTCCCATCCTGCTGCTGCTCTTTGCTGCTCCCCATGCTCCTGCTCCTGCTCCTGCTCCTCCTCCTCCTGCTCTCTTCTTTTCTATCATGCTCCTCCTCCAGCTCATCATCACTACTCCGTTCTACACTCTCTTCTTACATCTTCATGTTGCTTGGATCTTCTCAATTGTATTGTCAGGCTGAGGCGATTTCTGAACGGGTTGGGAACCTTGCTTCGATACTTCATCGTCCGACATCTGAGATAGCATATCATATGATTCCAGGTAACTCATCATATGTTGACATCAGAGCCAACAAAATCAACAAGATTTCACCACTCCCATTATCATCATCATCATCATCATCATCATCATCATCATCATCATCATGGTTATCATCATCATCATCAACATCAACATCAACATCATCATCATCACCTCTATCACCATACCTTTCCATCGCATCCCTGATTTGTCTTTGCTACAGGTTGCCACCACTCTTCCCTGGGAGGAGGCAAGAACTGGGGATCTGCCTTCATACTCCCTGAAGAAGGGTCAATAGCAGTCAAGAACGTGCAAGAGGTCCCGTTGCTAGCATCACGATCATGGCAACAACTGACAGCAAGTGCAAACAGCTACAAGGAAAGGAAGTTGAAGACCTTGAGAAGCAGCTTCATCAGCTGTCCTTCAAGCTTCGCGATCAGGAGGATCAGGGTTACCATCCTAGCATGCTGGGTTACAGGGAGGAAGAGCTCTCTATCTCCTCTCGTACCTCCTCTGCTCCCTCGATCGCTGCTTCCCTGTCAGAGATATCCCCGCATGCTGCAGAGCATCCGAGGTAAGGAGCAAGGAGGATGAAGACGAGGGCGAGGGCGAGGGCGAGGGCGAGGGCGAGGACGAGGACGAGGACGAGGGCGAGGACGAGGACGAGGACGAGGACGAGGACGAGGGCGAGGACGAGGGCAAGATAGCTGGGTGGAGGTTCAAAGAGAGGGAAAGAAGGTGGAGAAAACTAGCAGGAAGGAGCAAGAGGAAGAGGGTCTGAAGAGCGAGAGGAGGAGGAGAGGACGAGGACGAGGACGAGGACGAGGACGAGGAGCTTCAGTTGATTTTGTTTCCTTCTCACTCCCTCTAGTACGATGATTTTAGGACATGGACCAGCGGACCCGCGGGATCTTGAGGTGAAGGAAAGAGATGAGGAGGA